GGCAGTCCTTCAGGATTTCGGCGTTCATGATTTCCCTAGTAAAGGGAGAGGTGATCCCAACCCGTGCTGGCGGGGTTTGTTGGGGCGCCCGATTGACCTGCTCTCTGAGCTCAGTCATCTGTCTCCTCATTTCGGCCATTTCGTCGTCTTGGGCCGTTCGGGGAGTGGGTGGTACTCTAGCATCCGCATATTCCGGTATTCTGTTCTGGGGAGGAGCAGCTATGTTAGCCCTCTTCCGGATGAAGCGTTCCCCATCCCTCTGGATATACTGGAAGTTTTGTCCAACGAGATCTACCATGGGGGTAGGTTCCCTGTATCCGTTTCGAGGGGCGGACGGGGTTCGGCTGGTGGGTGCTCGTCTGGGGGTATGGGCCCTCCAGTGGTTCCTGCGGCGTTCCTCGGAATGAACTGAGGCCATCGTAGTCTCGATGTCCTCCTCTTCGTCAAAAGATGGCATGGGACGCAATGGGGATGGTGGCTCATGAGTTTCATCGGTGTAGCCCCGTTCCTGTTCGTCCGCCATGCGTTGCATGGCCTCCGCCATCTCCCTCATCAACTGAGGGTTCATCCTTACATCCTGGGGGATGATTTGCTCGAACTCCCGGGTGGCACTGCCACTGGCGTGTCCTTGCCTGGACCACCCCTCAGAGGATCTATTGCCTCCTCGGCCTCTGGACGTAGAACTCGGTGTCGCGGTAGTAAGTCTAGCCATTTTCAAGAAAAAATGGTGCTTAGATCTCGGCTTTGCCTGGACTTTTAGTGTGGTTTCCCACAGACGGCGCCAATGTTGAAGTTTATTCCCGAAGATCCGAAAGCCCAACACAAGCCTTGGATATTGTAGGGATCTGGGGTAGGGTTGAAAATGTGTATAAAATATAAAACAGTGAGCTAATATCCAACTCAAGAACTTACTTATATTCAGTAATTAAGCAATTACACTGAAACTACCCGAACGGTAGATGAATATGGGATTACAAGGATGGGAGATGTAAATCTATTGCTTAAGCTCTGAGTGTTAAAATGCTCACCCTTTACAATGATCTAAACATGGGTATTTATACTAAAATAGAAATGGGTGAGGTGGACACGTGGTCAAATCCGGTAGACTGTCACTTCTGCCATGTATACACCCATGCCTCCACTTGCTGTCGTCATGATCCAGCATTAAATGCGGCCTCCACTTGATGATTGCCCGTTCGGGCAGGGTGTTCGGTGTGTGGGACCCCGCCATAGGTGTTATCCTGCTTAGGAACATATCCCGAACGCCGATCGATACCTGGCCTTGATGATTTGGCATAATTGTTTCCCGGAATGTTCCAAGTATAAATTTTATCCCGAATGCCGTTCGAGAGTTCTTTTGGACTGCCTTGGGCCCGCTGCTTCTTCCTGGATTTGGGCCTAGGGATATTGGGCCCGGACCCAATATCCCAACAATAAGTATATAACCACAAATGTAGATCATTTTTTATTGTTCCTTACATCAGAAGAGTTATGACCGTAGTCAGGGTCTGTTTGCAACAGCTTCTGCTTTTAAAAAAGTGCTTTTTTTAATGAAATGGGGAGAAGTGATTAAATAAAAGTTGATAGTGTTTGAGAAAAAAGTGATTTTAAAAAGTAAAAATGGGTAGTGTTTGGTAAAATAAGTGTTTTTTGTGTAACAGAAAAAGTAAAAGCACTTTTGACGCGGAAGCCGAGAAAAATAAAAGTTGTAGTGTTTGGGAAAATAAGTGCTTTTTTAAAGCCAAAAGCTGAGAAGTGTTTTTTTAAAAGCAGTTGCAAACCAACCCTCACTCCAAGTGTAGTAAATATATAGGGACGTTAAATTTTCCTAAATAGGACTAAACGAACTTGTGTTTTTCAAAATATATTTTTTATGTTTTTTATTCACTAAATAGAAGCAAATATTGTCATATTTTGTCAGTACCATACTTTTAAATATGGCAATATTTTTTAAATTTGACAGTAACGATGACTCCTATTTAGAGAATAAAAACACGAGTCTTTGTCTTTTGGAATTTACACGACAATCCTATTTTGGAAATTTCAAACGTTTTCACTCCCACAACGTTAAATTACACATTTATTTACACATTGTCTTTCATCAGTTGGACTAGAGTATTTGGTACATATATATACTCCGGGTTATATAGTATACATGACATGCATATATCATACTATGAAGTATATGTCACATAATATTACAACCCTTCCACCAGGGAGAAGGAGGTGGAAGAGCTGAGGAGGAAATCTGGACATGTCATTCTGTTGTCTTGGTCGTCGTCGGATTATGTTAGAACCATCCGAGATGATCTCCTAATATGATCGTCGTGTTGCCCCTCGTCGAGTGATAATTCGACGTCGTCCCCCATCGGTGATGATTATTCTTTCTTGCACACCATTATGATGATTCCATGTCTCCATGCTTTGGTGTTTCCGGCAACCTTCTTATTTCACCCATTATCTCACCGGCCACATGCACGGCTTTTGCAGCCCCACGCATTGCCCGTTCAAATTCTGCCCGCTCCTCATCTGTCATGGGACGCAGTGGCGGAACCAGCCCGGGAACCTTGGAGGGGCTTGTTGTGACTGTTCGGAAGATGTGGCGTCAACCGTCTAGAATATACTACATATATATATATATAGGGTAAGGTTCGGGTGAGAAGAACCCTTTGGGTGAGAAATGAGAATGAATCTCAGCCATTGGATTCGACTAAGTTGCAGTAAAAGACACTTCATGATGCACTGAAATATGCAATCTAGCACGGTGGCATTTCTGTAAATACTTCTGAAAAATCCGTATTACACGTGTCTAGTGCAACATGAAGCTATTTCGGTGCAACGCCGCCAAATATTAGTGCAACATGAAACCGTTTTAGTGCAACATGTGCAAAATTTAAATATTACTGCAACATAAAGCCAATTTTAGTGCAACTTCGTAAAAACAATGGCTGAGATTCATTCTCATTTCTCACATTAGATGCATTTCTCACCTGAACCAAAATCTATATATATATATATATATATATTATTCTAGAAATCAATATCTTGAAAAGTAAACTGAGACATCATAATTTTAATTACATACAAGATCAAATGAGATTTTTTTATTAAACCAAATAGCAAGAAATTAAATATGATGTGGGGATTTGAAGAGAAAGCTGTCCTTAGCAAAATTGTGATCCCTACCCACATACTAGAGAGTTAAATGGTAAATCACCATAAGAATTAATGATGATGATGATAATAATGAACCCATGGAGGATGCAAATTTCATTAGCTTCTCAATAAAAAATGGCCGCTTGGAGTCGTCCCCTATCTCCAAATATTTTTGTTTTTTTTGTTCAGAGTTGGAGCCATGTTCAGAGTTGGACTTGGCTCCTTTCTAACACAAAGTCACTTATGTAAAGCAAAATTAAAAAGCTACAAAGATAGGATTCGAACCCCAATCACCACCACTCCGCTGCCGTCTCTTTTGGTTTTAATTTTTGTTATTACTTCGTAGTATATAATACGCATACTTTATAAATATTTACATTTTTTATTTAATATATATATATAATAAATATAAAAAAACTGCAGGGGCTCAAGTCCCTCCGAGCCCCTTACTAGTTTCGCCCTGATGGGACGTGACCACATTGTGGAATGAAAAGAGATGAAGGAAGGCATATTTTATATATGCCCGACTGGACACTAATATAATTAGCTATCAAGTAATTAATGGGGATACTTACACAATTCTAGCTCTCTTTCTTGGATTATCTTGGATTATATAGATAATGCCATGGAATATATTTACTTACTTTAATCTTTAAATATACATGTATCATATAGCAAAGAGTACAATGGAAGGTAAATAAGGCAAGAGTGCCTTGAAGAAGCCCCAAGAGTGATTCCTGAATCGATCCAATATTGTGATTCTTTGGGTAATCGGGTTCCCTTTGTGATATCTTTTTATATGCAGTTTTCTCTATTAATTTAACCACTTACTTAAAATCGAAGGAGAACCTAACCATTCTACAAAATGGTTTCTTCCGACGACATACCTTGCAACACAATGGAAAGATTATATGCAGTATTAAATCATACGCATAACACATTAACACACTCACGGGCGGAGCCAGGACACTGAGCCAGACTGGGCCGGTACAAAGAATATTTTTGAAAAAAAATTATACGCAATTTTTTACATTAAAAATTAAGATGTTTTTAAAATTTGGGCTAGGTCAGGGCCAAGTCTGGTCATTCTCCTTGACACTGTGGAGAAAATTTTACTAAAACATATGACAAAATGTTTAGCCTAAACAATTAGAATAAAGTTTAATGTATGTATTACTTCCCCCAAAGTTCATGCGGCCAACCCTTGATATAGGAAGAGTCGACTGATTACAAAGAGTACTCCTAAAAGGAAACAATCTCTATTAATAAATAATAAAATATAGAATATTTCTTTAACATAAATAAGATATATCCGTAATACCCCCCTTCAAGTTGGAGCGTGCGGGTCGAGAATGCCCAACTTGCGGAGAAGAAAATGAAACAGTGTTTTGCCCAGAGCTTTGGTAAAGATATCTGCCAGTTGAATGGTAGTTGGTACGTAGCTGGGAGCAATCAGATTATCCTGAATAGCATTACGAACAAAATGACAATCCACCTCAATGTGCTTGGTGCGCTCATGGAAGACCGGATTCCGGGCAATGTGTAAAGCGGACTGACTGTCACAAAATAGAGGAATAGCTTGGGGATGATGAACACCCAAACTAAGAAGAAGAGCTTTAAGCCATTTAAGTTCACAAGTTGCGGCAGCCATAGACCGGTATTCCGCCTCAGCCGAAGAGCGAGCCACAGTAGTTTGTTTTTTAGTTTTCCAAGAAACCGGGGAATGCCCAAGAAAAACTAGCCAACCAGATAAGGACTTCCGAGTAAGGGGACATGCAGCCCAATCGGAATCACACCACCCAGTAAGAGTAAGATCACTATCTGCCCGAAGCAAAATCCCTTGACCTGGAGAGCCTTTAAGATAGCGGACAACTCGAAGTGCGGCATGCCAATGATCCTGACTTGGATTATGAAGAAATTGAGACAGAATGTGAACAACATAAGCCAAATCCGGGCGGGTAACAGCTAGGTAGACAAGTCGGCCAACGAGACGTCGATAGGGCTCTGGATCCGTGAGAGGAGGACCCGAAGCATGGGCTAAATTGTGATTAGGTTCAATAGGAAAAGTTGCAGGCTTAGCACCCAACAGTCCAGTCTCAGTAATAATATCCAATGCATATTTGCGCTGAGTAAGAAACAACCCAAAAGGGCTCCTAGCAACCTCAATGCCAAGAAAATATTTTAATCTGCCCAGATCTTTCATATGAAAACAATCATTGAGATAGACTTTAAAAGAATTAATGGTAACAGAATCATTGCCAGAAATAATAAGATCATCCACATAAACCAAGACATTGAGCTGAATAGCCCCACAAGTGCGTGTAAACAAAGAATAATCCGCAAACGACTGAGTAAAGCCATACCCCTTTAAGGCACTGACTAGTTTGGCGAACCAACACCGTGGTGCCTGTTTAAGTCCATACAAGGATTTTTTTAGACGACAAACCAAGGTAGAATCAGAAGTGGAATAACCTGGAGGTAAAGTCATATAAACTTCTTCATGCAAGTCGCCATGAAGAAAAGCGTTATGAACGTCCATCTGATGCAACTCCCAGTTTTTAGATGCAGCAATAGCTAAAAAGGCACGAACAGTCACCATTTTGGCAACAGGAGCAAAGGTCTCAGTATAGTCAAGCCCAGCAACTTGGCGATTGCCAAAGACAACCAGGCGCGCCTTATAACGCTCCACACGTCCATCGGCGTGGTATTTAATTTTATAAACCCAACGGCAGCCCAAAGCCCGCTTTCCAGGAGGAAGATGTGTGAGATTCCATGTGGAATTCTTCTCTAGAGCTTGGATTTCCGCATGCATGGCATCACGCCATTCAGAATGCTGAACAGCCTCACGGAATGATTGAGGCTCCGTGTTAGAAGAAACAGCTGCAAGAAATATACGATGTGGTGCAGAAAAATTATCACAACTAACATAGTGTGTAATAGGAAACGGCGTACCTGAGGAAGCCAAGGCCGGAGGAGAGGGAGAAATGGGACTGTTTCGGATGACCGTATGAGTAACATAGTCCTTCAGACGAACCGAGGATTGTTTGGTACGCAATCCCCGACCCAAGGGAGCAGGAGTGTCCGTTGAGAGAGTGGCATCCGGCAGTACTCCGGCCGATGTAGTGTCTGTGGTAAACTCAGAAGGAGAAGTAACTGTGGCTGGAGGAACTACATCCAAGAAATCGTCATAGGTATTCGGCAGATCACACGGAGTGCTAGACTCGCCCAAGTCCGGGCCCAAGGATGGTGGCGGATCAGCATATGGAAAGTGGTCTTCAACAAATTTAACGTCTCTGGATATAAAATATTCATGCGTGTCTAAATCAAAAACATGCCAGCCCTTTTTTCCGAACACATATCCCACAAAGACGCATTTGCGGCTGTGACTAGCAAATTTATCACTCTTAGATTTCAAATTGTACGCATAACAAAGGCATCCAAAAATGCGCAACTGATCATAGCAAGGTGGTTGACCAAACAAAATATCATAAGGCGTCTTGAAATGAAGAACAGATAACGGTGTACGGTTAATAAGATAGGCGGCAGTGAGCACACACTCTCCCAAAAAAGAAATAGGCAAATTAGCCTAAAACCTCAATGCCCTAGCCACATTGAGGATATGTTGATGTTTTCGCTCAACCCTCCCATTCTGCTGTGGTGTGCCAACACAAGAGGTTTGAAAAACAATCCCACTAGTTTGAAAAAAACTTTTCAAACAATTAAATTCTGTGCCATTATCACTGCGCACAACACGTACCTTTTTGGAAAATTGCCTTTCAACCATGGCAACAAAAGATATAAACATTTTAAAGACTTCAGTCTTGTCCATCAATAAATTAATCCAAACAGCCCGAGAATGATCATCAACAATAGTCAAAAATAGTTTGGCACCACAAGAAGAAGGGGTATTATACGGTCCCCATAAATCACAATGAACTAGCTCAAAAATATCATGAGTTTTATTACTACTAGCAGGAAAAGAGTCCCGGTGTTGCTTGGCCCTAAAACAAATTTCACAAGAAGAAGAAAACGAACCCCTTAAATTACTCACTGGTGCCAACCAACGCATCACATTTCCAGAAGGATGCCCCATCCGTTTGTGCCATAGATCAAGAGCTGAATGTTTGTTGCCATCAATTGTTAAAGCATGCACAGTGGTTGACTCCCTGAGATAGTACAACCCATTTCTCCTCTCACCGGTCCCAATCAGCTTTCTCGATACTCGATCCTGTATAACACACAAGTCAGAAGAAAATTGCACAAAACAATCAAGGGTGTCATTTAATTGTGTCACCGAAATAAGATGACACTGCATTTGGGGCACAAAAAGAACATTTTGCAAGCACAATCCATTTGAGAATTTAACACATCCTTCTTTAGTGGCTAAGACTGTTTTTCCATCAGGAAGTCCAACAGAACAAGGGGCTATGTTCTGAATTTGAGAGAGTAGATTTAAATCACCACAAATATGATTTGTAGCTCCGGTGTCGAGTATCCAAGTTCCGTTGCCTGAATTACCTGCCATGCGACTCAATGAAGACCGTGGAAATGCAGAGATCAAAGCTTTCCATTGCTCTAGGGAGAACCCAGGCAACGGCGTACCTGCCGATTTATTTTCGGCGGCCGATTCTTGTGGAAAATTGGACTCCGCCACTGCTGCATGAGTTTTAGCCAACAACTTGCTGCGCCCAGTAGAGTCTCCTTCTTCACTTACTGCCATTTAGCAGCGTGCGTGTGTTTCAACGCTCTGATACCATGACAAAATGTTTAGCCTAAACAATTAAAATAAAGTTTAATGTATGTATTACTTCCCCCAAAGTTCATGCGGCCAACCCTTGATATAGGAAGAGTCGACTGATTACAAAGAGTACTCCTAAAAGGAAACAATCTCTATTAATAAATAATAAAATATAGAATATTTCTTTAACATAAATAAGATATATCCGTAATAACATATAAAATAATTCAAATAAAGAGAGAGATATTTCGTCTATTAGTATTTGTATTTGTATCTCTCTCATGTTACATGTTCACCGAGCATATTATGACATTCTAGACGCTGTTAGATTAGATGAATGAAGGGCGGCTTGGGGCAAAGTATCATAGTATCGCTCCCGGATGTTTTAACGGCTTAAGGAGAAAATAATTAAATGTTAACCGATGTAGAAGAAAATTGCTAAACAGATAAACGGAAGAACGAACAATGAGCAAAGGTACAATGCATCTACTTAATACACTCTATTACAGTATTACACCAACATTTTTTTAATACTATTTTTGCCCTTACTCAAATTCGTCTTTATAAGTTCTTACTAGTTTTGTAGAACGCATGTTACGCGACAAGGAATATACGTTTGGGTGGGAGGTAAATAGGTAACAAACTGTGCTCAAGGTCTGCTAGTCCAACTCCGGCCAACTTTGACCAACTCCGGCGAAACTCCGGCGAAGCTCAAAGATACTCTATATCAAGTTCCTAACAAGGTTTTAACATCATAAAACCTTAATCAATACCCATAACCCTTAAAAGGTTATTTTCTGGTGAACCGGTCGGTTTGGCTTTTAAGTCCGTTCTTGGACTTAGAACTACTCCCCAACCCATTATTCCACACTATTGGCATGTGGAACAACCTCAAGGGTTCTCCATATGATATACATCTCATATGGTAGAAGAAAAATTAAGAAAAAGTTATGATAAGGTCATTACCTTAATCCTATCACACTTTTAGCACTTTAGTTCCTTCCCTTGGGATTCTTTCTTGTGGAGCTTTCTTCAACAATGGAGAAGGAAGATGGAGAATTTGCTTGGCTCTTTCTTGGAGGTGCTGGCCGCAGGGATGAGGGAGAGAGTGGGTGAGGATTTTCTTTGTCTTGATCAAATGAGTGAACAAAACAAAAAGAAATGGGAGCCCATGTGTACCTTTGATGCCTTTCCTCTCAACTCCAACATCTCCCATCCTTCCCCTCTCCATCCAGCCGCCCAAGTCTTGAAAAAATGTGTCCACATTCGTGGGTTGGCCCCCACCCATGTGGGAGGTCAACCCTTTTTGTCCAAAAGTGTACAATCGGTCCCGAAAGTTGTATTTTCGGACTGTTTTAAATATATTTTATTTTATCGGGTCAAATAAAATATATTATGTGTTCTCCATCATTATGACCCTTATAATGAATATTCATCCCCCAACTTTAATTTATAAGTCCCCGAAATTCAATTTCAGGCTTTTATCGGTTAAACTGTCAATACCGGTAATTGGGCCACTTTTGACCAATCGGTCAACTCTGGACCTTTCCATGGTTCGAATGAATTATCCACCACCAAATAACTATTATCTAGACCAAGATAAGTAATTCATGTGGTCCCGGGAATATCGGGCGAACCCCGCTCCCGGTGCGGGCCCCACGTGCGAATTTACTATTCATGCAATAGAAATATTAAAAAATTCACCACCTCGTATACTCATTAACCATTTCATAAGGTTCAATACAATATACTCTTAAAAGTAAATACATTTGGGGACGGCGCTACAAGTTCACCCCCCCTTATTTGGGATTTCGTCCCCGAAATCCACGTGTCTAATCGAAGAGAAAAGGGTATTGCTCCCTCATTGAGACCTCGGTCTCCCATGTTTCTTCTTCAACTCGATCACTCCTCCAAAGGACTTTCACCATAGGAATCTCCTTGTTCCTCAATTTCTTCACCTGTTGCCCCACAATTTTCAGCGGTTCTACCGCATAATGTAGATCTTCGCGTATCTCTACCGGTGGCTTCTCAAGAATATGAGATGGATCTCTCACGTATTTCTTGAGCATCGATACGTGAAACACGTCGTGTATCTTCTCAAGTTCTGGCGTCAACTTCAGACGGTATGCCACGGCCCCTATCCTTTCAAGGATTTCAAATGGACCAATGTATCTGGGGTTAAGCTTTCCCCTCGATATAAATCGGATGATACCCTTCCAAGGAGAAATCCTTAGGAAGACCTCATCACCGACCTCGAACTCCAATGGCCTTCGTCGTTTGTCGGCATAGCTCTTCTGCCGATCTTGGGCAGCCTTGAGTCTATCCTGAATGACTTTCACCTTAGCCTTGGTAATTTCAACAAGTTCAATCCCCTCGAGCTTGGCCTCGCCAACCTCGTCCCAACATAACGGTGTCCTGCACTTCCTCCCATACAATGCCTCGTATGGAGGCATGCCAATACTCGCCTGATAACTGTTGTTATAGGCGAACTCGACTAGAGCCAAATGTTTGTCCCAACTTCCCTGGAACTCCAAAGCACATGCCCTAAGCATATCCTCTAAAATCTGTATCACCCTCTCGGATTGCCCATCCGTCTGTGGATGAAAAGCTGTGCTAAACTTCAGTTTAGTACCCAAAGATGCTTGAAATTTGGGCCAAAATCGAGATGTGAATCGTGGATCCCTATCCGAGATAATGGATATCGGGACTCCATGTAGTCTCACAATCTCCTCCGTGTATAGCTTTGCCAATCTTTCAAGAGGGTAAGTGATGTTAATAGGCAAAAAGTGTGCACTCTTGGTGAGCCTATCAACTACTACCCATACCGCATCATAGTTGTTCACGGTCCGTGGCAACCCCACCACGAAGTCCATAGTCACATGCTCCCACTTCCATTCTGGAATGGAAAGTGGCTGTAATAACCCAGCTGGATGCTGATGTTCTGCCTTGACTTGCTGACAAGTAAGGCACCGACTGATGTACTCGGCTATCTCTCTCTTCATACCGGACCACTAGTAACTTTCCTTCAAATCGCGATACATCTTCGTGCCCCCCGGGTGCATGGCATAAGCCGATGAATGAGCTTCCTCTAAGATGGACTTTCGGAGCTCATCATCTGCCGGCACACACACTCGGTCACGAAATAATAAAAGACCGTCGTCTCTTTCCCTGAAGTCCTCCACCGGTCCCGCTTGCATGCGTTCCCTGATCTTCATAATTTCATCGTCAGTTTCCTGACCCTTCTTGATCTCATCAAGAAAAGTAGGTCTCACCTCAAACCGTGCCAATAAGGCACCATTACTGGACACCTCCAGTTGGGCTCTTAATGCCCTCAAATTAGCTATCAATGCCCCAGATGAGCTCTTCCGGCTCAAAGCATCTGCCACCACATTTGCCTTGCCGGGATGGTACTCAATCACTAGATCCTTTATCAACTCCATCCACCGTCTCTGCCTCATGTTTAACTCTTTCTGAGTAAACACGTACTTCAAGCTCTTATGGTCAGTGTATATGTGACATGTCTCTCCGTAGAGATAATGTCTCCAAATCTTCAGTGCGAACACCACTGCTCCCAACTCTAGATCATGGGTGGGGTAATTTACCTCATGCTTCTTCAACTGTCGTGAAGCATAGGCAATTACCCTCCCCTCCTGCATCAACACACATCCAAACCCTTGGATACTCGCATCACTATAGACATCGTACCCCATACCCTGTTTGGGTAATGCAAGTACCGGTGCCTCGGTCAATTTCTTCTTCAGTTCAGTGAATCCTTTCTCACATTTGTCATCCCATACAAACTTAGCTCCTTTTCGAGTGAGCTTCGTCAACGGTGATGCCAAAACAGAGAACTTCTCCACGAACTTTCTATAGTATCCTGCCAATCCAAGGAAACTACGAATTTCCTTGACGTTCTTTGGCCTCTCCCATTCGGTGATGGCTTCTATCTTCTTGCTGTCGACAGCAATTCCCGATCCCAAAACCACATGCCCGAGAAAACCAATCTCCATAAGCCAAAATTCACATTTAGAAAATTTGGCATAGAGCTGCTTCTCCCGTAGTGTCTCAAGAACGAGTATCAAGTGCTCCTCATGCTCTTCCTCACTCTTTGAGTAGATCAAGATGTCATCAATGAACACAATCACGAATCGGTCCAAGTATTTGTGAAATACTCGGTTCATCAAGTCCATGAATGCCGCCGGGGCGTTTGTTAACCCAAACGACATAACAAGGAACTCAAAATGCCCATACCTCGTGCGGAAAGCACTCTTCGGTATGTCATCCTCCTTAATCTTCAATTGATGGTACCCCGACCTCAAGTCAATCTTTGAAAACACGGTTGCTCCTCGTAGTTGATCAAACAAGTCATCAATCCTAGGCAAAGGATACATATTCTTGATTGTGACCTTGTTCAGTTGGCGATAGTTAATGCACATTCGAAGTGTTCCATCCTTCTTTTTCACAAAAAGGACCGGTGCTCCCCACGGGGAGTGGCTTGGTCTAATGAAACCGTTATCCAAAAGCTCTTGCAATTGGGTTTTCAACTCGTTAAGTTCAGCGGGTGCCATGCGGTATGGCGGTATGGAGATTGGTTTGGTGCCGGGCTCGACCTCGATCACGAACTCAATCTCTCTATCGGGTGGAAGTCCCGGTAAGTCTTTAGGAAAGACGTCCGGATACTTGCATACTACCCTAACATCAGCAATGCTCGTCTCTTCTTTGGTTTTGTCCACCACATACGCTAGATATGCATGACATCCCTTCCTCATCATATTCTTAGCCCTCACAGCGGATATGATACAACTATTGGATTTTGCCCTATCCCCCTCGAAGCGTAAGGTTACCCCTTCATTGCCTTCGAGTTCAAGTACTTTCGTGTAACAATCGACCCTAGCATGATGCTTCTCAAGCCAATCCATCCCCAGGATTGCATCGAACTCAATCATACTCAGCGGCACGAGATCACACGACAAGTTTTGGCCCTCCACTTCCACCTCGCACGATGGATAGTGGCTATCTCTTTCGATGTATTCCCCTAGGGGTGTGGATACCAATAGGGCTTGAGCCATCGGTACCAGGGGTACGTCGAATTCCCCGGCGAATGCTTCACTCACAAATGATCGTTGCGCCCTGGTATCGATGAGGATTCTCGCACATCTCCCATTAATCTTTAGTGTTCCTACATTCATAAGCCATGTAAGATACCTCTCTAACATACCGACCAATCCTACGAGGAACATAATGCGAAATTATGTCCTTAAAGTGGGCAAAATCCCTCAATTATGGTTGACGTTCGCAGTTGAGATATAAATTGACACCATCTCACCGTTTTGACCATATCTCTTCACCTACTTAACCAAATCGTTCGATTCAAATTCCAACATTTAGACAATGAAAATATCTACAACTTTCATGAAGACAACTTTTTCATTTGACGAACACCTTGGGGTGTACCCGGTCGGGTAACATACCATACCCGGTCGGGTATGAGTTCCAGTGGATAATCTCCCACTCTACCCGACCTGGTAGCAAGTCGGGCCACGATATTCATCAGACCCGGTCGGGTACATCATAAGACCCGGTCGGGTTTGTGTTCCAGTGGGTAATCTCCCACTCTACCCGGTCTGGTAGCATGTCGGGCCCAAATTTTCTCATCAGGCCCGGTCGGGTACACCACCAGACCCGGTCGGGTAGGTATTCCAGTGGGTATTCCAGTAGGATTTTTCAGTAGACCCGATCGGGTGGCCCAAAATACCCGGTCGGGTATGTGATCCAGAATGCTTATGAGGGCAAAAACTTGTCCTACCCGGTCGGGTTTGTTGCCCTACCCGGTCGGGTAGTAACATGGTTTTGCTCTCTTTTCCCATTTCGATCTTACGTTTGCTCTCACCTGGATTCTAGGATTTATAACTTCAATTTATGGATGGGGAATGCGTAAAGCGAGAGGAGTTAAGCGGTCATACCTGCAACCGAATCTGGGTTAGCTCGGGCATCCGCCTCCGTCATTGCGTAGACCCTTGCTTGGGTCCTTCCTTGGTTCACGGAGGGTGCGTTGCTCGTACTTGCTCCCCCTTGCCCCGTACAAGCATGGGGTGCTTCGGTTCGGTTCCTACTTGCCGTGGTAGCGCCGCTCGATCCCGCCCCTCGGTTCCCACCAAGTTGAGGGCAATTTGGCTTGATATGCCCTGTGCTCCCGCATTGGTAGCACCGTGGTGGATCACGACACTTACCGGCGTGGCTCCTGTTGCAATTCCTACACCTTGGCGCCGTTGACGCTTGTGAGCCCGAGTTGTGCCCGCTGAAGGCCGGGTTCCCCTTTGATGGCGGTGCCGGTGCCCTGAACGATCCACCTCCCCCATGGTTCCCCTTCTTGTTAGAACCTTGGGGGCCATGGCTTTCCCACTTCCTTTTCTTCGCCTCCTCGGCATTCCTTCGCTTTCTTTCCTCCCACTCCTTCTCTCCCTTCAGGCCTTGTTCAACCACTTGACTAAACGTCATATTAGGCAATTGTGTTGCCCTTTCACGTATGTCAAGGTCCAAGGCATCCCAGAAGTGGTTCACCATCCGGTTCTCATCACATATGTACTCCGGTATGAATTCGGCAAGCTTTCTGAACTTGTGCTCAAGTTCCTTCACCGTACATGCACCTCCTTGTGTCAAGTTCGTATACTCCCTCCTCTTCATGTTTACTTCAAAGTCGGAGTAGTATTGGTTGAAGAACTCCTGCCGGAAGTTCTCCCAAGTGACGGCCTCGCCGTACTTCCCTTTGACTCCGTCCCACCATGTGGAAGCCATGCCTTTAAGCAATCTTATTGCCACCCTCAGTTTCATGTTGGGTGGCAGCTGCATGTCGAGGGCCGCTTCGTTGAATCTTTTGATCCACTCAGCCGCCACGGAGATGTCCCCCGTCCCGTCAAACGGTTTACATCCCAAATCTCTCGCTTCCTTGATAAATTTGGAGATCCTTATGGTTGGACCTCCAGCATTTTGGCCTCCATGGGGTTCAACAGGGACCCTAGAAGCACCATGACTTCCCCCTCTTGAAGCCATGCCCGAAGGTTGCCCCGCTCGGCGCCTTCGGCGTTGTTTCCTCTCCTCACGCTCCCGGTGGTATTGTTGGAGCAGCGCCTCAATCCTCCCAAGAGTGCCATCATCTTCACTCTCTTCACTCACATCATCATCTTCCCCATCATATGGGGTTTCCACCGGCTCGGTTTCCGGTGTATAGGTTGAGTCCTCATAGGACCAATAAGTCTCACTCTCCGTGTCCACGTGGCCATCGCTCACGGTCTGTTGTTGGCCTCCACGGCCCCTTCCCCTTGACACCCTAGTGGACCCCCGGCTGCCGCGTTCGGACCCACCCGGTACACGGCCCGTCGGGTTCCTCCTAGTGATTCTACCAATTGGCTCCATTTCTGAAAGAAGTTTAGAATGAGCCATTAGACTCGTATCAACTGTCAAGTGACGGATAGATACTTAAAGACATCTTTTGGCTTAAATCACCGCCATACCAATTGTTAAGGGTACCATCTTAACAATTAGAGACCTTGCAACTCAAGTACCAAAAGTTCCATAAGTACAAAACTTTATGCTCATGGTTTGCAAAATCATTTTCGAAAAGGAGTTTTGAAGCTTCATTATGAAGTTTACGGACTAAGGCTCTGATACCAATTAAATTGTCACGCCCCGGACCTACCGGACACGTCAACAACCCGCCGTACAGTACGAATAGTCAACCGCAGTCCAACTCATCCATACTATACTAGGCGTCTTGAATACCATTCACACATAGTACATCCATAAACAATCATAACGTAAAATATTTAATTAAGCAGCGGAAACATAATTACAAATATTTAACCCACACGTGGCAACCACGGGCATACAAGCCCCCAAATAAATATTTGAAATAATATCCATGAGCATTATTTAAATTGTTTTCAAAACAGAAACAGAATAAGCACGAACCACGCCTTCCTCCTTGAATTCCCCGAAGCAACGAGCGGTAGTAGCAAGCTCTACTCCCTACCTGAAACTGTGAGGTGGCCTCCCCCGTGAAGGGGAGGTCAGTACTTGGAAGCATTTGACAAGTACAATGACAACTATACTAAGTATAATCAAAGTTTCAATTTCCAAGACCCTCAATCTAAGATGTTATTCATTTGTACTTAACTCATGTTCCTTCATGCTAGAGCTCGGCTCATAGTCATGCTAATTGATGCTAGAGCTCGGCTCATAGTCACCCTACGTTTGCTAGAGCTAGGCTCATAGTCATACTAATTTGTGCTAGAGCTCGGCTCATAGTCACCCTACGTTTGCTAGAGCTCGGCTCATAGTCATACTAATTTGTGCTAGAGCTCGGCTCATAGTCACCCTACGTTTGCTAGAGCTCGGCTCATAGTCATGCTACCACGTGCTAGAGCTCGGCTCATAGTCACGTCAACTAATCCCTAAACCACTTCTTAGTCTAGGTTTCATCCATTTTGAGTAACCCTTAAGGCCTACTCCAAATGTAACTTGAGTTCATAATAATTTGAATATCTCAATTAAATTCCACATTCAAGTATAACTTGGCTCTAATATCAAAATATCACTTTTACCCTTCCATGACTTCCTTACATGAGGTAAAAGTATATTTATCACAATTTAGTTTATAGTTTACAACTATTATACCATTGTATTCATAACACATAATCATACACAATTTATCCATAAATTCGTATATTATGCATTTTTGCATAATCAATAATAATCTCATTTAGGCATTTTATTATTATAAATACATCATGCCAAACACATATAATTCATTTAGGTAATCTTATGAAATTAACCCAATAATTATAAGCAATATAGTCGGTCATCCTCACCTTAAGTGAGCTTAAGCGTGTTCTACGCTCCGCGGTTGAACTTGGACTAATTCCGGTGAACTTTGACCAACTCCGGCCAACTTTGACCAACTCCGGCGAAACTCCGGCGAAGCTCAAAGATACTCTATATCAAGTTCCTAACAAGGTTTTAACATCATAAAACCTTAATCAATACCCATAACCCTTAAAAGGTTATTTTCCGGTGAACCGGTCGATTTGGCTTTTAAGTCCGTTCTTGGACTTAGAACTACTCCCCAACCCATTATTCCACACTATTGGCATGTGGAACAACCTCAAGGGTTCTCCATATGATATACATCTCATATGGTAGAAGAAAAATTAAGAAAAAGTTATGATAAGGTCATTACCTTAATCCTATCACACTTTTAGCACTTTAGTTCCTTCCCTTGGGATTCTTTCTTGTGGAGCTTTCTTCAACAATGGAGAAGGAAGATGGAGAATTTGCTTGGCTCTTTCTTGGAGGTGCTGGCCGCAGGGATGAGGGAGAGAGTGGGTGAGGATTTTCTTTGTCTTGATCAAATGAGTGAACAAAACAAAAAGAAATGGGAGCCCATGTGTACCTTTGATGCCTTTCCTCTCAAACTCCAACATCTCCCATCCTTCCCCTCTCCATCCAGCCGCCCAAGTCTTGAAAAAATGTGTCCACATTCGTGGGTTGGCCCCCACCCATGTGGGAGGTCAACCCTTTTTGTCCAAAAGTGTACAATCGGTCCCGAAAGTTGTATTTTCGGACTGTTTTAAATATATTTTATTTTATCGGGTCAAATAAAATATATTATGTGTTCTCCATCATTATGACCCTTATAATGAATATTCATCCCCCAACTTTAATTTATAAGTCCCCGAAATTCAATTTCAGGCTTTTATCGGTTAAACTGCCAATACCGGTAATTGGGCCACTTTTGACCAATCGGTCAACTCTGGACCTTTCCATGGTTCGAATGAATTATCCACCACCAAATAACTATTATCTAGACCAAGATAAGTAATTCATGTGGTCCCGGGAATATCGGGCGAACCCCGCTCCCGGTGCGGGCCCCACGTGCGAATTTACTATTCGTGCAATAGAAATATTAAAAAATTCACCACCTCGTATACTCATTAACCATTTCATAAGGTTCAATACAATATACTCTTAAAAGTAAATACATTTGGGGACGGCGCTACACTTACCTTTTAATTTCTATACGTAGCTTATTCTCCATCTTAAATCATGCATATAATTTTCTCTAATTAGATTAAAGCTTAATATTACAATTATATTTAATAATCATATTCACCTTGGTTTTTGTTTTTCTTTCTCTATTCGGGCTTATTATTTTCAATCAAACTATGCACTTTTAATATATCAATTTTGCATAATGTCACATATGATTATGATCAATTTTGCATAATGTCAAATATGATTATGATAAATATTAATAATATTAAAAAAAAAACAAAAAACAAAAAAAAAACAATAACTTTACACACCACTTGTGTACGGTTACTCACACTTTATTAAAATGAAATAAAAATAAATATCATCAATATGTCTAGTTTATTTTATCACAATTTTTTCAAAGTATTATGGTGCAAAAATTGATTTTTTATAGTGCAACTTCATGTTTTACATGGTGCACACGCGAATTACATAAATAATGTTCAAATGTACACAAATGCATGAAAAAAGTGCAAGATATTCTAATAAAAAGTGCATGAGAGATCCCAATTGAAAATTCGGTACATTTATATGTTTTACATTTTTAATAAATTATTAAAACTAAATAAATCCACTCTTTATAGGTTAAGTTGCACATATAATTTTTTATAGTGCAACATTTTGTTCTACACACTGCACAAGCGAATTACATAAATAATGTTCAAAAGTGCACAAATGCACGAGAAAGGTGCAAAGCATTTCAATAAAAAGCGTCATTAAAAAAAGTGCAATATATTTAATAAAAAGTGCATGAGAGATTCTAGTTGAAAATTTGGTACATTTAAACGTTCTGCATTTTTATTAAATTATCAACAATCAAATAAATCCACTCTTTATAAAATGTGAAAAAAAAATGGTGCTGATTTTTTAATTTCAAATGGCACTTTTTATGCAATTAAGTTGCACCCATCTCACACATTTTGAAGTCATATTTGTACATTAAAAAATGAGCTTTTTTAATCTCTAACAAGCTTTTAATGAAAATTACTTTAACTTTCGGACTTTTTGAGATTTGTTGCATTTAATGAGTTGAATAATATGGAAAGTATACATTTTCAAACAGCCGTATATAAGATTTGCTTTTACTCTAATACCCTTACGTGTCTTTACATTTCAATTCAAATGAGTTGAATTTATTGCTTTCCTTTCCTATCCCAAATTAATGGATAACCGTGCATTGATTTTAGTCGATCCGATTGAGATTATTCAAGGCTAGATTTCATTCTTATTTCTCTCCTAAGCTCCTTTCTCACCTGAACCGTTCCCTATATATATATATATATATAGAGGTGATCAGGTCCAGCCGGAGGGACGGGGAGCCGCCGTCTGAACTCCGCCGTTTGGGGCGGTTCCCGGTGGAATTTGTTGATGAAATTTTTTGAGCATGTTCCTCATCAAGTCTAGTTTGTTCATACCAAATTTCAGCTCAAAATTCGACCGGGAAGGTCGTCAAATGATTTTTGCAAGTTAACTGGTCCGGAAAATACATATTCTGGACCAGTTAACTTGCAAAAATCATTTGACGACCTTCCCGATAGAATTTGGAGCTGAAATTTGGTATGGACAAACTAGACTTGATGAGGAACATGCTCAAAAAATTTCATCAAAAAATTCCACCGGGAACCGCCCCAAACAGTAAAGTTCGGACGGTCCCTCCCGTCCCTCCGGAGGGACCTGATCTTTTCTGTGTGTATATATATATATATATATATATATATATATATATATATATATATATATATATCTTTAAAAGCTTATAATGCTCAATGGGGGTTAGGGCATTTTTGGGTTGAAAATTGTGTTGGTGTAATCTTTAGCTTTATGAGATTGTACGTTGTGTTTTGGCAAATGTACTCTTTTAACGGAATTTATTTTGCCTTTTAACTTCTGTCCAATCGCTTCCGTCTGTTCCAGCGTCCGTTTATTTCGACTGCCACCAGCCCCTAACCGTGGTCATCCGAATTTTGTCCTGGGATGCATCAATTAGGAAAAAAGAATGAGCTCTCCTGAGCCGGCCAGCGGCCACTCATTCCTTTCTCGGCCCGTCCTCGCGGTGGAGAAGATGCCCGCAAAACTGTGTGGTGGGCGCGTTTACGGACTTGCCTCTCAAAGGAAATCTGGCGGCTATTTGTTTGTTAAAAGATGGAAGAGACGATGAGTGGCTACAAGCTGTTGCTGGGGAATTCAACATTTCCGAGACTTGTTACCTGACTCGAATCACTAACTCGGAGCCTCACAGCTCCACGTTTCTGGTTCACTCTCGTTGCCAAGACAGATCTGCGGACATGCCACTCTACCAGGTGCTTATTTCCTACGTAGTACGGAGTATTTGTTAATGGCTTCGCCAAAACTGATGTTATTGAGTTATGTACCTTATCTGGGATTTTAACTGCTAAAAGAGTTCTGAAAAAAGGATGGACGGTTCTCTATTGAGTTAAACTTTCCAATTATCCATATTTTGGAGACCATCTTATCTGAGCTCCCAACAATTGAGAAAAAGTTTGAAAAAACATGTGTGGTTGAGATAAAGAAGACTGACAAGGATGACCTCATTGTTGTGCTCCAATCCGGGGATGCAGTTGCAGGATTACAACCACAAATTAATGAGATACCAAAATGAATTTGCAGAGTAATTGTTACAAGACCTGGGAGTTCCAGAGGATCTTGTTTGTAGAATTGCTCATTGTGCATTGGCTTCTTATTGGCACGAGCTGCTGAAGAAAAAGTAATCTAAATTCTTGTGTGACATCACTTAGAAGTGGTGTGATGAACGTGTGTATAGATGAGGAGAAGAATATAGTATTTCTGCAAGGTTCTCTATTAGTTTAGGTTCTCTATTAGTTTAGGTTGAACAATTTCACTTCAGGGTGATGATATATTTGGACTTGCGAATGATCTTTGTGCTTACAGAATCTGGAATGAAGCAGAGCACATTAATTAGAACATCTTGGATTTGATAATTGTATTGATATCCCTAGCTCACACATCAGCTGGTATACAACAAACCAATGATGCATAAAAAATGCTTTCTCTATTCCTATTAAAAAAAAGGACAGACTTTCAAACTAGAAGCCAATGAGGCATACAAAATTTGCCTTTTCTTTCTTCTTGTCTTGAAGGCTTGGTGAGTCTGTGAGAGCTTCACATTGGATTCCTGTTTTTTATGAAGCCTGTGAGAGCTTCATATTTTGAAATCATTCCCAAAAAAGGTCACGAATTTTGCAATGGGCATTGAGATAACCTAACTTTATGATAGACTTTCAAATTTTAATTTTTTTTGCATTTTGTTACAGACCTGCTACATCTCAAATGATATTGTGATGAACAAGGGCTTGGTGGAGTGGCATGCCTACAATGTCTTATCACAAACCTTAAACTTTCATAGGTTTAAAGTAAGATAAACACAATAATCCATAGATAAATAACAAAAAATGTTGAGTATGAGACATTTTTCTACCTGTTTTCACCCTCAAAGGGCACCGCGACCAGATACCCATACAATATGTCTATGATTAGCTGCGTCTATGGGATCTTTTCTTTTGATTGAGGGAACAATTGCAAAACGTCTAACATTCCCTCATATGAGTATATGTGAATGTCTATATTATAATGAGTAAAAATGGCATGATACTTTGAATTTGATATTAAATTACACACACATATATTAAAATCTATTTGTCGATCTGGGTTAGAGCATTTTAGGGATGAAAAAATATCGGTGTAATCATTTAACTTTATGAGGAACAATTACGGTGACATGGCATTGTGTTTTGCCATGTGTACTCTTTCAAGGGAATTGATTTTTCCTTTTAATTTTCGTTCATCACTCCCGTCTATTCCGGCGTCGGTATCTCCACTTGCTTCAATGAATTCACCATTTATCACTAAATACTAAATACGTTCAATTTCAAGAATCAAACGTCTATCTTGCTTAGCATGTTCACTCCACTTCCACCATTAAATCATCATTTTTAACATGACTTTCCTCACTATTTTAAAAACAATACTACATTTCATGACTAAATTTTCACTCTCACATTTGGGTTGTAACATACCCAGTACTCTTCTAATGCATTCTTAAAATTAATGTCTACACAAACATTATACTTGGGCATTATCCCCTCGCGCATCGCGCGTTAGTATAACTAGTGCTTATATAATAAGCGTCATCTTTGGTTAATATGGTTCTTTTCCCGTTAATCACGTCCAATTTTACAACAACTTCCGTCTTCTCCGTTAACCAGTCCTTCCTCCAGGCATCACAACGAATCGGTATTTGGTGATCATTGACAATCGATCACCAACGAATCGGCTAGCCTTATATACGTGTTGCCATGGATGATCAAAATTCGTCAGAGCAGTTGATGTCCAAAGGGAGTTGTGCTCTTCCCATTTTTTAGCTTAAGAGTATCCTTCTCTTATTTTGATGTCTAAAGGGCCGTATACCTTCAATAAAACCATGCTCATGCCCCTGCATATCCATTCTCTTCACTTGCTGCTTTTCTCATCTTCTTTGGTTTCTTCTACAAACAAGGTTCATCCCTACTTGATATTTAGTTTTGTTGTCCTACTGATTCCAAAGTTCTTATCATATATGCCTGCAATTACTGATTACTATCTTTTAAAACTAACGAAAGTTTTCCTGAATGCTTCCTGCATCAAAGTACTCTGCACATATATACATTTAAATGCCGAGAACATGTTCGTACAAATGCCCCATCAAGGATAGAACATGCACATCACCACTTAGTCAACAGAAATTTGTTGTCTCCAGTATATTTGAACACCTAATTGTCTGAATCACACAGAGAAATATAAGGAATATTAAGTAACACATGTAAATACTAATTTAACTGGAATACTGAATCACACCAATTTTTTTATAGGATTACTACCAGGGGCGGATCTAGCATTAGCTTTCAGGTGGGGCCAAATTTTAATAAAATAACGTATATTGTAAAAAAGAGTCAAAACGTAGTAAAATAATACTACGTGTTTATTTAACAATATCAATTTTCAGGTATAAATTGATATTTGTTGCAAAATAAATGTCAAAGACATAAATAAATATTACAAGAATAAGAATTTTGTGAAAGTCAAATAAAAAACACCTCAAATTTACAACTATTTTTTAGAAATCTTAATAGATGATATTGTTAAACGTAAAAATTAGAATAATATAAAGGCATAAAACCGAAAACACTAAAAGTATAAAGAACAAAATCATTAAAGGCAATAAAGCCATAATAACCATCCATCAAATGGTTTATAATCCTAATTTACCAAAATACTCAGTTTTGGAACCCCGGAACCCCCCATCATGTGGCTGCTCTGCTCCTTTAGAGATTTTAGTTTGAAAATATACTAGTGCGTTGCAGCTCACTTTCTGAACTAGTGCCATTGTATTACTTCAAAGTACAAGCGACAAATACACGGCCAAAGCAAACTAAAAATAGATACGGAGTGGAAAATAAGCCTCCTTAGAATGAAAGTAGTAAATAAAAAAGCATCCAGACATTTAAAAAATACCTGCTGGAGGCAAGAATTGATCCCGCGTCAGCAGGCACAGGCAGGTCTGCTTCCATCTCAGCTACACGGTTTCATCGTCATAATTTGACTCTCGTTATTATTATTCCATATACTACAACAATATATACATAATAATATATATATATACTAGTAAATTTTTTATTTTTGAGGTTGGGCCTAGGCCCTCACTGGTCCTAAGGCAGATCCGCCCCTGATTACTACAATTACCATGAACTCACTGCCAATGAATATAAGCAATTTCTAATTTTAAAAACTAGGATGATGACCATTACATGTGGAATTATAATCCCAGCCCACACCAATTATCATCCTCAAGTTTCTCTCAAAACTCTAAATCACCACTACTTATAGTTTCTTTTCTTTAGTTGTTGGAGTCAAGACATTTGGTTGAATTTAATTTAAACTCTATATCACCACTACTCATACTTGTGTAGGCCTAATTAGTGTTTACAAAATCACACTTCCTTTTACAAATCACTTACGTAGAATGAAACAAATAAATAGCCCAAACTATTACCCAGTGACATATCCTTATAGTTTATTAGCTTCTTGTGATACAGTGAAAACATTAACATTGGGTTGAGAGTTAAGAACGTATTACCACTTACAAATCGTATTAAGGTTGTAGCACATCGAAATCATGTCCTATAAAAAAGGTATAACACAAACCAGACACTTTAACATCTTCCAAATTTTGTACATTAGGATAAGAGGCAATAACTTTTACTTATTTTATCTAAGAATGTAAGTCAAACATTAACTTCAAACCCACGTATTGTTGTCAACTATGGCATATAATAATTGAAAAATTAATGAATATGCAATAAATCTGTAGTCGTATTACTTCCATCACATTTAACTTTTTTTTTCGTAGGTTTTCCCAGAAAGTAAAAGAACTGCTAGAAGATAAAGGTTAGTTTCAACATATAAGGAATAGCTACTCAGATAACTTATATCTTTACTTACATAATAAAAGCCAACATCTGTTAACTTCATTCTTTTTCCATCTACTTGAGAGCTATTCCGTCAACGGAATCATTCCAAGTTAACGCCTTTTTTAAAAAGAAATCATGTGTAAACTTAGTGAGCTGGTTTATATTTTTAAGATTAAAGATGTTAGTTAATTTTTTTTGTTCATTGTACCAGGTCAGAATCCTTGTTGATAATAGGGTCCATAAAGTGTCTTCTTCATGTGTTAGCAAATGATATTTCTCTTGAATGAGTTGAGTTGCAAAGCTGCACAATTTGTGACCCTGAAGCAGACTATGATATCAGGCCTCTGGCATAAGTAATAGATTTTCTCATGTGAATCATCTAGCAAGGTTTAACATAGAAAGTTTTTCACTTTTGTTAATTAATAGTTTAATACCCACTATTTTGATCATCAGAGGTCAAAACCGCTGCACTTTAGCTTGGTAGAGCAAATCCAGTTTCAATTTTATTAAGTTAGAAAGCAAGAAGGATATTTTAGTTCAAAGTGTTTAATGTACTCTTTCTTATTCTAAATTTTGTTTCAGGCAGACAATTACCCTTAACTGTGCTTTTGCAAAAACGTAAAAATAGGTACTTTGCTTTACATGTCATAGTGTGTCACTTTTATTGATTTTCTACTCATAACTATGTGTTAATAAGACTTATGATTTAAAAAAAATAGGTAGTGTTAAAGAGTTTTGGTATTAATTAAACATGGATCTTTTCATTCTGCTTTTCCACTTGTTTTAAGAGTGATTTGAATCTACTCATGCTTTTCTTATTGTGTTGGGCTTGGGTGTAATCATCATAACTCTTTCATACAGATCTCTTACTGAACTTCATTTATATATATTTTCAAACAGGTGAGAAGGATAATGGAAGGAAACCATCGAATGGGAATGGTATAACATCTGTCCCCACATAATCTTGTATATGTATTGATGATGTTGCTTCAGCTACTCATTAGTTTATGCTGAATCCTTCCAATAATGACGTAGTTCAATGTTGATTCTGCGATAGGTTCTATTGCTGAGTATGGTTGTGAAGTAGCGATCACAGAGTATGTATTTCCTTTGACAGTGCGTTTTTGGTGCTACAGTGATTATGTTTTATCATTCTTATTTATGGAAGTGGCATATTAGATTGACACCTGAGAGGAAGTGTGACCGATCTTGGTTTGTGTTGTTAGATGCACTTCTTCTTAACAGGGTTCATTCCAAAATAGAACTCAAGACGTGCCTTTAATTTCTTGACAATTCTCCTTGCAGGTGATGTTGTTGGATATTCATATATTCCGCAGAGAGGCATAGCGTTTCAAGACAATTTAGATGGGCTTAATTGGATAGAGTTGTTTTGTGAATCACATGCGATGATTCTTAAATCACACGCTTTTGGCTCGTATTTTTGTTTACTTGAGTTTCAAAAAGTTGTGTTGTCAATTCATTGTTGTCAGTTGTGTTTCTCCTTAAACCATATCACGTTTATGCAGATCACATCAAGCGAAGAAAGAGTAGTGAAATCAGCTAGAAGAATAAAAATGTGTTTTATAAATTATACTTGTCTTCTCATACTGATTTAGAGATCAGCTGGCATGGAGAAAAATGTGGGATTTATTCAAATTAGTCCCACAAGGGAAAGGCCATGGACTACAGTGAGGTTAAACTAGGCTACTGATGTTGCTTGTTGGCTGTTAGGAAATGAGGTTGTTGCCAGTGAAGTAAGCATAACGGAACTTGGATACATCTGCGATTGAGATGTATCCACGAAGTATTACAAATGTTTGATTAGGCCAAAGTGTCAGGTGATCTCAGTTACCACGTTTGAAATTCTTTGCTTTAGCAGACACCACATTTGGTTTATACTAACAATACATCCCTTTAATTAATACAAATAACATTAAACTTATGTTTTGTTTCTGTATCAATAACTGCTTTTTGAAATTGCCGGTGATTTTTTTACCTTTGAAAAGTAAAAGGACATACAAACTCCTTTAAATCAACCATACCTTCAGAATGCCCCTATAAGTGAACTTACATTTTCTAGGGTTATACCAAGATTTTATCATTTAATGGTCTTTGTTACTACAATAAAAGAATAAAATAATTAAGTACATAGTAAAACAAATAAAATACTTAAATACATGTTATATGTATTGGAAACCTTTTCATCCAATAAAAAATATTCACTTAAAAATTTTTGTGACTAACTTATTACCGTATTTAATGTGATGATCTTTTCTGTTTTTATAAATTAATAAAAACTAACATGGCATTTTTTAAAGTTACTGATTATAAAGATAATATAAATTTAGACAATTGAATATAATTTCAATTCAAGATTAGCACACAGCAATTTAGTAAGAATATGTCAACGTTGGACATCATTCGCACGTAGTGCGTACTCCGCTAGTATATATATATATATATATATATATATATATATATATATATATATATATATATATATATATATATATATATATATATATATGCCCACACAAACTCAGCCCCCGTGCGGTGGCTCATCCATCCATTCACTGGCGGCGATGGGTTCCTCAGCTCTCCCCATTGTCTCATGAGATTCAAACCCATCTCCGCTCTTTCTCTCTTCAAATCAAAAAATCGAACATTTACGCCCCTTTCCTCAAAAACCATTTCATGGCCACCGACGCTCTGCCAGCGTCTTCCGTAGACCTTCCAAACAATGAAGACGACATTCTCTGCGCAGAGAGTGCGGGACCCACGGTCCCCATCTCGGAGGAAGAGAAGTTTCGGTCTATTGATTTTTGTCGTCCGAATGGGGGTATTTGAGAGGCGAGGCGAGGATTGAGAGGGCTTGGGCTCACTGGAACAAGTTAGGGCAGCCCAAATGTATAGTTGCCCCAATGGTAGACAACTCGGAGCTTCCGATCCTTTTCGTATGCTCTGCCGCAAGTATGGTGCTGAAGCTGCTTATACGCCTATGCTCCACTCCCGAATTTGCACTGAAAACGAAAAATACCGATCTGTGGAATTCACTACTTGCAAGGAAGACAGACCACTGTTTGTTCAATTCTGTGCAAATGACCCTGACACTTTGCTGGAAGCAGCTCGAAGAGTTGAACCCTATTGTGATTATGTAGACATTAACTTTGGGTGCCCCCAACGTATTGCAAAGAGAGGAAACTATGGAGCATTTCTTATGGATAATCTTTCCCTTATAAGGTCCCTGGTAGAGAAATTGTCAAACAATCTTACTGTTCCCGTTTCATGGAAAATCCGTATCTTCCCAGATTTGCAAGACACAATCAATTATAGGACGCGGGCTGCACTCTCTTGGCAGTGCATGGACGAACAAGGGATCAAAAGGATGGGAAGAAAATCCGGGCCCACTGGGATATCGTCAAGGCAGTTAAAAAATCGGTTAGAATCCCCGTGCTCGCTAATGGGAATATTCGGCACATGGATGATGTGAAAAGTTGCTTGGAAGAGACCGGTGCAGAAGGTGTACTCTCAGCCGACTCACTTCTTGAGAACCCTGCCTTATTTGCTGGATATAGGACATCTGAGTGGACAGAGGGAAGTGATGCAGGAATAAAAGAAGATAATAGGGTTGACCAGGCTGAGTTAGTGGAGGAGTATTTGAAGTTTTGTGAGAAATACCCAGTGCCATGGAGAATGATTCGTGTTCCCATCTGCACAAAATGTTGGGAGAATGGTTCAGGGTCCAGCCTGACATTAGAGAGGATCTTAATAAACAATCGAGTAAAGAGTCAGTTTGGTCCTCGAAGTTGCAAAAAAGGCGTCAAATAAGTCCTTATATAAAAAATTCTGTCCGGACGTGCCATTTGAGGTGGCTCCCGGTGGAATTTTGTGATAAATTTTTTTAAGCATCTTATTCATTAAGTCTAGTTTACTCATACCAAATTTCAGCTAAAAATTCAATCGGAAAGACATTCAAATGAATTCTTGAAGATAACAGCGCTTTTAACGGCACAGTTATCTTCAAGTATTCATTTGAATGTCTTCCCCATTGAACTTTTATCTGAAATTTGGTATGAGTAAACTAGACTTAATGAATAAGATGCTCAAAAAATTTCATCAAAAAATTCTGATACACTTGTAATTTCCGTGTGTATGTTTGTGTTTTTAGCTAGTTTTGGTTGTTTAATGTTTCGGAAATTACACACTTTTGGTGTAATAGTTTAGTTTGTTAAATCCTTGTAAATTGTTTAGATTAGGATTATTCTGAGCTCGAACAGGTCTACTATAGCTAAGCAAGTCTGGTCTGTGACTGAAAACAATCCAAATAAAAACATCTTAAATGTGCAAACACGTCCCATCCCATCCCGTTTTCAATCGGTTCGGGATTGGTACCAAAAATATATTTTATTTTGCTCACAGTACTTCCTTTTCGGTTTTTTTGCTCACCCTTTATATTTTATAACATGTAATAAAATGACTAAAAAGATAAGATCTATTATTAGCTGAACTTATCTTCAACTATCATCAAATTCACAAATCTATCCCATTCTTTAACTTTTATAAATAAAAAAATCAATCTTTCACTTTTCTCACATTTACACTTTCAATGGATTGGTTATCAAATATTCAAGAAGAAAATCTTATTTATATTTCAATGTTTCATTCCTTTCTAACTTTAAGTTAAATAAAAAACGCGTATTGCTAAATTTTTTTGTACAAAATCATAAATCTGTTATACAATTAAAAAATTACAAATGGTGAAATTCACATTATTTCTAATAAATGACATTACACTTCATAACATATGGAAGATAACCATAAAGATGATATTGTAACATACAACTATAAAACAGAAGAGGAGGTGGCTAAGGCTGAGCAAGTTTTTGCTGAGGTTAATACTGAAGAAAATAGGGAAGACTGGCAGCACAAAAAAGCTTTACTCTTGCAGAAATACAAGTTAGAAAGGAAATTTTGGAAACAAAAATCTCATGTCAAGTGGCTTAAAGAAGGTGATGCCAATACCCATTATTTCCATTCACTTGTTAAAATTAGAAGAAGAAAGCAGGTGATTCACTCCATTAAAGATGCTGGGGGCAGGATTTTTTCTAACTTACCTGATATTAGGAAAGAGGCTGTTGAATTTTTCTCTAAGCTCTATGCTGTTGAATCTGGAACCTGCTCTAATGAGATTCTGAAATATATACCTGCAATTATTGATCAAGGAGATAATGATTTACTTACTGTATTACCTTCTGAGGAAGAAATAAAGAAGGCAGTGTGGGAACTGAATCAAAATGGGGCTCCAGGCCCAGATGGGTTCACAGGTAAGTTTTTCAAAAAATGCTGGTCTATTGTGGGAAGTGATGTTATTAAGGCTGTTCAGGAGTTCTTTATAGGTAGGCCACCTCCAAAAGGTTTCTCCAGCTCTCTTATTGTCTTAATACCTGATAAGTCCGTATTTTGACACGTATTTGATGCGTGTTGGGATCGGTTTTGATGGTTTTCCCTAGCTTTAAGGTGTTGCAAGTCTCAATTTTAGCTCAAGTTATGTTTACCGGGCGTTGGTTCGAGTTTTGTGTTGTTTGTAGTCAAAACCAGGGAATTTGAGCCCGATACTGGCACTTGAGGAACAATCGGGATGATTTGAGAAGCATTTGAGAATGATTTGATGGCTTTGGAGGTCACCGGAAGATTCACGATGAAGATTTGAAGGAAAAAGAGCTCTAGGATTGGCTATGGGATCAAAAGAAGATGAATGAAGCTAGAAAACAACGATCAGGATGACCTTTGGTCAATCGTTCAAGCATATCTCTTTGTATAAGCATCCCGAGGAAACGATTCAAGTTGAATATGAAAGCCAACTTCAAGGGCTACAAATCATGTGAAGAAATCATTCCGAGAATCTGAGATTAGAAAGGTGCAAACAGACGATGAAGTCAGATGATCTCTGCTGCGATTTCAGAATGACACCTTCCACCGTTTTGATCATATCTCTTGATTGGATGATTCAAATCACATTCGGCAAATTGGGGTGGATAGAGTACTTTATTATATACAATTTGCATGAAGGACGTTTTGTCAAATTCGGATTAGAAAAAAGTCTGAAGAGCACGGACGCACGACCGTGCGTAAAAGGACGCACGATCGTGCGTAAGAGCCAACAATGCGGCAACTAATCTGCCTGCTACGCACGATCGTGCATGGAAAGGTACGCACGATCGTGCGTACACCCGAGACGCGGATTTCAGCCCCTTTTTAGTCCCAGTTCAGCCCAAACTCATCCGTTTTCTATAAATAAGTCCTCCCTAACCCTTTTTGATGGTTACGAACATTACGGAGAGGCCTAGGGACAAATTTACTTGCGTTTTTACGATTGTTTACTCCAAGACCCTGGGATTATTTGTAAGTTCATGTTTTTAATTAATGACAATTATTTCTATTCTTCCCAATTCTATTGATTCTTCAATTATGAAATGTGAGTAGTTTAATTAGGGATTTGGGGTTGATGAAGGGGTTGATCATGATGTATGGCTAGATTCTTGTTGGTTTAATTGCATGAATGTCGTCTAATTTGTGTTTGAATAATTTAACTGATATCTTTTGTAACCTAGAATCGCGACTAGAATTACAATTGCATGTAGAATGAATTAAGAGAGATCTAATTTGTTCTAGGACACATTCACACACACTTAATCGTTCGCTAAGAGATTAGTAGCGATTAAGGGGCCGTAAGCTCGCTCGTCTTGGCAATAATTTAGGATCCTGTCGCATGAGAGATCAGTCTGGTCCCCTAAATTATTGTACTCTACGCCGCGAGAGCGGTAAGAACTTAGTAATGATTAGCTAGGCTCAATTAAATCAATTTCATGTAATTAGGCCTGATCTGCCAGAAATCTGGTTACCCCGGAATCAATCCCTATTCCATTCGTCATTAATTAATTAGAAACCACATTTATTTTTATTCGCTCAACCGCATTAGTTTAATTTTCAAATCAACCAATCTCGCACGACGCATTTATTTTATTTACTTCTTTTTAATCGCTGACTTGAATTAATTCTTGATTCCCTTTTGTCCGTCCCTGTGGAGACGATACTCGTACTTACACCACTATATTACAATCTTTTTAAGTGCGAGAAAACTCACATCAGTTTTTGGCGCCGTTGCCGAGGACGGTGTCGGATTTGAGGATTAAATAATATCCGCGACTTGTTTTTAGTTTTTCGTAGAATTTTTGTCTACTAACCTTGCATGTCAGTCTTTTTATGCATACACGCTCAAAGAGGGGAGAACCACTTATCTCTCTTAATCCTGAGATTGAGAAGTTTGCTAGACAGAACCACAAGGCTTTTCTTGAGAAGAACGCACCCATGGACCCTACATCCTCTGGATTTGCTGGGACGTCTGAGGTCCAAACCACTGCTGATAACCTTGATTTTTTCGTCAATACCTCTCCTCAGTCTTCACCGCCTGCATCACCTTGAAATCCCGCTGGATTTCAAAATTTCCACAATTCTTTCTTCCGTCAAAATCAGACCACTCCACAATTAAATCTTCCTCTATTATACCAACTTTTCCAAAATACCTCTACTGCTCCCGAAACCACTTTTCAGAACTAAACATATGGGATGCAGGGTGTAGGGCAATCCATTCTAGTCTTACAGCCTAGACAGCACCTACCACCAGTCAGCCAAAATCCACCCCTGACTCAGCCACAAAATCAGCCTTTTTAGAATCAAAACCAATTCCGTCAGCTCAAAGTGCAGCCCCAACCGCAACCAAACATAATCCGACCGCACCCTATTAGACCACAGCCTGTTCTTCAGCCTAGACAGCAGGCTCCTCCATTCAATAATTATATCTCACATGATAACCCGCTCTATCAGGGAGAGACCATTGCAGATTTCCTCACTCCGGAGATTTCAGAGTATGACAGCATTCAAGTGCCGGGAATTACTGCAAACCGTTACGAGATCAACCCAACGGTGATTAACATGGTGTCCAATAATCAATTTGGAGGAGGCCCTACTGAAGATCCAGTGGCGCATATTACCCGATTCCTGCGGATGTGCCAGACTTTCAAGATACCTGGAGTAGATGATGATCAGGTGCGGATGTTACTTTTCCCTTTCTCACTGAGGGACGATGCACAGAGGTGGCTGGACAGCAATCCTCACCATCATATCCAAACTTGGGACCAGCTGCACAAGTCCTTCATCAAAGAATATTTTCCGACGTCAAAAGCACTGAAGTTGAAGAAGCAACTGCAAGAATTCAAGCAAGGCCCCCTGGAGACAAT